TGTGGTTTGGTTCCCTACAACCCGAGGACCCACAAATGTTGCTTTCTTGGCCGCTTACGAAAAGTCGTCCCCAGATCTTCAAGCTGCCCCCGAAAATGTGGTTTGGTAACCTACTACCCGAATACCCAGAAATGTTGCATCCGTGGCAGCTCACGAAAAGTCGTCCCAATATTCGCCAGCTGCCCTCGTCCTCTCCCGATATGTGGTTTGGTTCCCTACAACCCGAGGACCCACAGATGTTGCTTTCTTGGCCGTTTACGAAAAGTCGTCCCCAGATCTTCAAGCTGCCCCCGCAAATGTGGTTTGGTAACCTACTACCCGAATACCCAGAAATGTTGCATCCGTGGCAGCTCACGAAAAGTCGTCTCCATATTTTCTAGCTGCTCTCGCACATGATACGGAGAACTCCACAGCATCTATTATCAGAGGTGCTGCACCAATGGAAGTGTAATTCCTAAATATAGCAAACGCTACAAGGCATATTAATCTGGTCTTGTTGCCCAGAAACCAGGGATGTCAAACTGCTTGTTTAGCAGCAAATAATTTTTACTTTACGAATTTTTGTATGAAGAGTAATGTAATCGCAACCACTAATTTGTAAAGCCAATCCTATCACCAACTGACAATACTAAGTAATTCCGAATGATGCGGGTGTTTACGAAAGTTAAGTAATGGTTAGTTGAAATAAACTAAAATGCTTTTTCACTACTTTGTTGTTGTCTTTACAGAGAGGAAGGGTTCCCATTAAATTTAATGTGCACTTTTCAGAAATCCTTTCTTGTCACTTTTGCTAGAGGCTACCCATTCAGAAAGAAAGTCTTAGACCGGCTTTTCTTGGTAATGTTGAGTTACCTTCGAATATTCTTAGTTTTATATAAATTACGAGCATTTGGAAACTTAGTATGCCATAAATTGGCAGGAAATTACCTCAATGCTTCCCAACTATAGGGCACATAGCTGGTCTGAGTCTCGCTTTAATGTTGTCTTTCGGGAAGCAATAACCGTAATGGATTTAAAGAGGCCAAACACAGTGTTATCAACGTCGTAGTTTACCTTGTTGATGCGAGGCAGCTTCTTAAGGTTCACAGAAAACAAGTTAACGCTGACACTACGATCTTTCCAGTTGCAATGAATTATGAGTACTTCGTCTCGTTTCAAAGACAGAAATTGTTGTTGGTCAAAAGGGAAAAAAGTGGCAAAACATATTCGCAGGACAATTCGAGATGAACAGAGCCTTGCTAATATAAGAGTTGTCATCTAAATCGCAATGAACCAATCTACATCAACGCTCATATGACAAAATGTGATACAGTCATGTTCGCTAGCGAACCCTTTCTTGCAATTCCACTTTCAGAATTTGTGATACACGATGGTTTTATAACAATATCTTGTTATTGATGAGCTACCCCTTTTTTGAGGAACGTTCAACAGTAAAGTATCAAAATTTTGAATACGTTAAAAAAGTTCACCATGACGAACGTTTTTCTCAAACTTGATATAAGAGACATTTGCTAGGAAACCCAACCTGTAGCAGAGCGAATTACAAATTACCCTACACAAACGGACGAGTGTAGCTCTTTGTTTCACTTTTCATAGGATATTGGCGTATCCTGGGAGGTTACCCAATAGGAGTTAAACCACTAAGCGTGTCATATATATCCATGATAAAAAGCAATAATTACAGAGTGCTCAAGTACGGGAACTTGCTCTCAGCAGATATCAGCTTTCAGAGTCCAACATGAAACTTTGGTCCGAGTTAATAACAGAAGTAGTGCTACTTCCTTGTTGCTATGTAGAACTTCTGGTTTGACTTACCACAACTCAAACCGATCATAACGTTTCAATAAATATAAATCCAATTGCAGCGACAGTGTAAATTTGCGTCATTCTTATGCAGCGCAATTTCTATTGGTAGTATTTAGAACGGTCAACACTGATCAAAGGTAATTGACCTTCTTTTAATATTAGAATCCTTCTTTTGTATTAAAGCGTTCCTTTTTCGGAGAACACGAGGGCAGAAATTCCGAGAAACCAGTAGACGTTACTGAGGAAACAATGGAATTAACAAAATATCCGCCTGATTGTTATCGTTTGTGAAAACCTCTCTGGTCCTCCTATTGACGCGAAAGGAAGTGCATCAACATTGCAGACTTCTACTTTGCTTCCTGAACATTAAAATTTGAAATCGAGACAGTTTCTTTCACTCTTAAGAGTATATATAAGTCAAACTCGAGAGATGTCATCCCCGAACTTCAACATTATATTGAAAAATGCCACAGTAGGATAACAGTTTCAGATAAGTCAAATGTATTTTGATTTTCACTACATCCAAGCAAAACAATCTGCACCACAAATTTCTCCAGTCCCTCACTTAAGTGTGGCTCTCACTCTATGGTATCGTGAGTGGTGACAATGTCAAGACTTGGAGCTACTCGTGATCATGAGGTATATCGTGTCACCGTAAATTAAAGAGTTTAATGCACAAAGACACGTATGTATAACTGGCTATGGAACTTGAAACACATCACAGACACCAGAACATACGAGAAACGTATTTAAAGAAAAGCCTTTTCCTTCCCTTTTAGCGCTTGCGTTTACTGGAGAATCTCTCCATCGCTAGTGAGAAACTCCCAACGTTACATTCGCAGCAGAAATAAATAACTTCCAATCTAATAGCCTTTACACTAGCGAAAACTTTTGGTGATATTGTGGTCTTGTTCCCATCTGTGTCCATGAATCGTCAATTTCGTAGATTTTTCTTAGAAAACAATTAACGGTCTTAAAATACACATCTGAAACATTCTCTGAAATGAACGTTTCTAATATTCCACCGTCATTGCCGTGAAACGATTTTCGCATAATCCATATTGACACTGCCATGAGTGTCTAACGGCAAAGAAAAAGACCTTTTTCTACTCTAATCCCTATTGTACACCAACATGTAAATCAAAGGAAACTTGAAGTTATATAACAAAACCCAGAAAACAAGACAAACACTCCCAAACGATTCAAAAGCTATTGGTAAAGCAATAGAATACTTTCGGACAGTGTTCATATTAATCGAAAAAATGGATATTATATTCGCGCCATTCAAGGGCTACTTCTTTATCGCGTTCAATCGGCGTTCAATATATGAATGAATTTCTCTCTAAAAAAGATATTGCTTAATTCTATCAAGATTCTTTACCACGTAGACAATCGGACCACACCATTCGAGGGCTATTTTGGAACATTTTGAACAGTATAAAAAGGGGAGAATCTTTAGCTCTAGGTACATCGTCCGACAGTGGTACAAGCATGACTAGAGTTCTGCGCTTCCTCGCTGTTTTACTGGCAGTTGTCGCTGTCGTATATGCTGAAACCTTCAAAGATAACGCTGATAATCCTGGAGAAGTAGCAGCGGAGTCTGAGCTTCTAAACTTAAATGAAAGTATAGAAAACCTTGCTGATCAAGAAGACAACAAAGGTACGAAAATGGATTTTTCTAAATTATCTTGAAAACGTAAGAAAGAAGCTCAATTCAGTCTCCCATGAATGTGCTTTCCAGACTAATGGTTTCTCATTGGTGATAGTTTCACTTACTATTTTACTGTATTTTAACTTTTTTGGGTGATACAAAATTAAACTGCACCAAGCATATTAATGTGGCTGGTGGGTGCACAAAACAATCATATTTAAGATATCAATTTCTTAATAAAAAGGTGTGGCGCTTAATGTGTAGTCTGAGCGAACTTAAAGGGCAGGAAGGAACATATGATATACGATGTACAATTTCAGATCGTAGTATGATTATCAATTGTTTTTCCTTAAGAGAAGTTTCTGTTAAATATAACCTCAAGACTTCCTTTTCGTAATTAACGAATATTTTGCTAAATTTAAATCAACATGTGTATATGCTGAAAAATGTCTAGGAATAATTGAGTTACGACAGCAACCAATTTCTTAAATAAAAATGATTCTATATTGTATGATAATCAATCACTCAATGAATCAGAGAGTTGATCGATTGACAGTGCAATCAATCAGTCATTCAGCCACTCATTCATATTAGCAATCTGATAATTTTTTAGCCGAAGACAGTGAAGACGTAGAGGAAGAACAATCAGAAGATGCTCCTGTAGAACAAGACCCCATGGAAGAAGAAGATTCATACGAACTTACTGAGGAGGAGAGTGACACAGGTGGGGTAAAACACGTTTCCTAAACTAAATCATGAAATAGGCAAAAGAGATGTTGAATCTATACTCTTTATGGTGGAAGTCACAGACTCATTTTCCGATAACATTCACCACTGAATTCTCTTTTTGATCGCTATGTCTTAAATGTACCATTTTACTTCGTTTCTATGACTTCCGATCAATGTCGATCAGTCATTTCCATAAATATGAATTCGACCATGAGTGTCCTGTTACGAAGAGAGCATTTCAATCGCAATACGCCTTTCTTCCGGAACCGGGAGTCGAGGCTAAGAATGTCATGGAAAAGTTTGCTAGAAATACGGTTCGATTATCTAATTTTAGGCAATATTTTCCATTTTCTGCAGGGGAAGATACCCAAGAAGACTATCCACAAGAAAGCGATGAAATAGAGTACGACATGGGTAGGAAAATGGTCACCAACAGACAACATGCAAAAATTGATAACTAATACATCATTATTCACTGAAAGGAAATAATTTTGATTTTGTTTCCAAATATACTGGTTATTCTCCATCAAAATTCATCAAAATTGCCAACACAAAAGCCACATGACATTTTCTAATCTGTTTATATCAGACCTAAGATATCTGATCCATTTTACCATTCGACTGGTTCAAACATAGACCCAGTATCTTTTATATAATGGATCTGAACTGTCCATCAACACCAGAATCCATTTGCCAGTAAAAGAATACGGAAACGAACTAAAGAAGTAAATTCGTACCCAATTCAACAATGTGGAAAATAAGGAGTTTCTCGATAGTTTCTTTACTCCTCAATGTGTAATTTGAATACAGTATTTGTATATTTCAAAGAACCGCTTTATATTCTCGGTACAATTCCTTGCACTTATTTTTAAGGTTTTGATGTTTTAATCCAGAAACAATTTTATATATTGTGTATGAGTAATTATTGTTTCTTGAATTTCCAACAGAAAACAGTGAAGAAGACGAAGAATTGGCCCAAGAGAAAGATGAAGACTATTTAGGTAAAAATGAAAGACTAAATACACAATTTTCTTGGTATCTTGGCTAATACTGGATCACATCAATGACTTATTCCTCCTTGAGAAATGACTGTCAGTCATAACAAACTTTCTGTTCCTTCTTGGTTTCTTTAGACCCAGACCCAGAAGAGGATTCCTTAGAAGGGCCAGAGGAAGACATTCCTTGCGGTAAATATTTCATCAGTCTGACAAAAAAATGCTGTTATGGTAGAGTGGTCTCAAAGAAATTCAGATGCCCACCAAGATGTGGCTCGAGGCCCTACAACCCATGGACTCATAAATGCTGCTCTGGCAAATACGTCGTCAGCAAACGTCTTCCCTGCCCTCGGTTGTGTGGTTCGCGTCTCTACAACCCAGTAACCCGCAAATGCTGTTTTGGCAGAGTGGTCTCAAAGAAATTCAGATGCCCACCAAGATGTGGCTTGAGGCCCTACAACCCATGGACTCATAAATGCTGCTCTGGCAAATACGTCGTCAGCAAACGTCTTCCCTGCCCTCGGTTGTGTGGTTGCGGTCGCTACTTGG